GCGACACAGGTGGACAATTCTTATCAGCTGTCCGTACTGGTGGCAGAGCACTTATGGTTTATAACCGTGTGCAATGACGCTGGTTCACATCTCCCGACTTTACCTTTTTTACTTTTACATTAAGTCAGTTAAGTAAAGGTTCTTCCAGAGATTCTTTTCAAAATTTACCAAAGATGCAACAACAACAAAAATTTTGTGATTTTCTGATTTTAAAAAAAAAAAACATCTCCTGCTCATAAACACAAAAGTAATAATTTCAAAAACACAAAACAGAACTGTCAACTGAAAACTACAAGATTTTTAAATGCTTATTCCATAGGCATGACTCCAGCCACAAACATTCCACAGGCATGACTCCAGCCACAAACATCTTTAAGCAATTCCTACACAATCTTAAGAATATATATTCCTCATAAGACCTCTAATACTGGAGCAGAAAAATATTGAATGTTGAATTAAGAACTGACATCACAGCACTCGGGACACTAACATAAGTACTCAGTCCTTATCTTCAGCAGCAAGCGAAGAGTTCCAATTCCAATGGTACCAGTACCTGCCTGATTGTATATCCGTCTCATCATTCCCCTGGGTGTTGAGCGTCGGCCTGATCTCCTGGCAACTCCTCGCAGTGCCATTCCCCTTAAACCATAATAATTTATCTGCGCCTCCGCACTGTTCACTCGCTCCCTAAGGGTCCTCATGATCTAGCTTGTCATAGATCAATTCACCACTAAGTGGTGCAGAGTCAGCCAGTCTATCTGCCTGCTCATTTCCCAATACACCTGGAGAAAATATCTTAAGGATGCTAACTACCCAGGACCTCTGAAGTGATGCTTGCCACTCTGCTGGCATACACATACTCATACTGGAGCAGAAAGAGACAATTAACTCTTTCAATCCCAGAGGGTTTAGAATCAGAAGCCCAAGGTATAGTCAAGAGCGACGTAAAATCCGCACATCTTGCATTCACAGGGCTTCTAGGTAGGAACCTATAAAAGCATGATGCGTTCCTGGGGGCTGAAATAGTTAAGTTTGGGGCTGAAAGAGTTAAGTTGGGGACTGAAAGAGTTAAGTTTGGGGCTCAAAGAGTTGAGCCACTTCTTACAAACAGTGCACCTTGCACATGTACCTTCCCAAACCTTGTCACTCCAGCAACAGTTTCAAAACTGAGTCACAATATCGTGGGCATTCCTGAAAAAGAATCCATTTTAAAACAATACAACAATTTTACACAGGTCATCAATAAATTTCTTTTACATTTATTTATCCAAATTTCAAACTTTTTTCAAAATATATAAAGATATAATGAGTGAGTAACCAATCAGTATGAACAGAGTTAAGCATTAAATGGAATACATTCCCCTAAAAAAATGTGTGTACAGGGTGCCTGATGCTAATACCCTGTGACCTCTAACACTGAGGCTTACAGGAAAATTTGACACTAATTTAGTTTTTAAAATAAGCTATCTGGTCCAAGGAAAACCCACTAAAATGCTATTTTTAGTTTCTATATTCATATCCTTGCTTCCCAAAAGTGTGCGCAGGTGCAAACACAGCCAATAGCATTAGTTATGCACTCTGTATGTAAATATCACTGAAAACAAGCCAGAAAGGTGACACTTATGATAAATTGGACCTAACTGTATGTGATGATATTAGAAATATGAATGTCTCAACTTCTTATACTGTGTTTGCTCTTAAAAGGGCAACTGGGATGTTGTATTGCGGTTTACAGCTAGGCTTTAATGTTTGCGCCTTTTAGCCCAGCACATTCAATTTCGGCAAACCCTTAATTACTTTCCTTTTAAATCATGCTCGTAAAGCAGCGTGGGTCTATTCTAACCCTCCCCCAACAGAAAGAGGTTTGGGAAACCTACACTGGAAAATGGGTCAGCGATACAGATAATGTCTGGTTATAGAATCACCCACTTTCTGTCTCTCGTTACATCTCCATGCCCTAATGATTACAGCCTGTTCCAAAATTATTTTAAACAGTGATCATTCAAAATATAGTGTTTTTATAAGTGAATGTTTAAGTTTTGATACCTCATGCTGAGACATTCTTGTGCAAGAGAACCAGACTGCTAAATTTAGTACACAAACAAATGACCAATAATAAAGTGCAATAGAACACCAGACAACAGAAAGGAAGAGACAACATTCAGATTTCAATCACTGTGAAGTGTGGTCAACTCGCAAAGTTGTGGAGCAATCAGTTAGACAACTACGCCACTTGCTCATACTTGGCCTTGTTGATAGACTTGGCTAGACAGAATGCTAGCACGGCTCCGAGAACCTGCAAAACACAACAATGAAAAATGAAAAAGTTAACTCACAGAGATTTGATTTGATTTGATTCAAGAACCGAGATCACAGCACTCGGGGCATCCCATAAGCACTCCCTCCCCATCTTCAGCAGCCAGCGAAGAGTTCCAATACTAATGGTGCCAGTAGCAATCTGATTAAACGCTGCATCAATCTCACCAGACCGTGGTGATCCATCTGCTCCTCCGAACTGTACACGCTCTCCCACAAGGCACTAACCACGTCTGCCTTATCATGTATCAGTATTACACCAAATTGTGCAGAGCTAGCCAGTCTGTCCGCCTGTTCATTTCCCAACACACCGGCGTACCCAGTGAAAAAATCCAGACAATACTCCTCACTCGTGTCCTCCGCAGCGAAGCATGCCACTCTGCACGAAGCATACCTGTTCTGATCTTCCTCAGCATGCTTTCTGAATCAGTTACAATCACTAACTCAAAGAGATGACAATGAAGTCATACGGTTAAGTTATTTTTTTAAAAGTATATTTCTCAGATATAACAATGAAAAACTATATGCAGCAGATAAAACAATGAAAAACTATATGCAGCAGATATAACAATAAAAAACTATATGCAGCAGATATAACAATGAAAAACTATATGAAGCAGATATAACAATGAAAAACTATATGCAGCAGATATAACAATGAAAAACTATATGCAGCAGATATAACAATGAAAAACTATATTCACCAGATATAACAATGAAAAACAATATGCAGCAGACATAAAACAATGGAAAAACTATACGCAGCAGATATAACAATGAAAAACTATATGCAGCAGATATAACAATGAAAAACTATATGCAGCAGATATAACAATGAAAAACTATATGCAGCAGATATAACAATGAAAAACTATATGCAGCAGATATTACAATGAAAAACTATATGCAGCAGATTTAACAATGGAAAAACTATATGCAGCAGATATAACAATGAAAAACTATATGCAGCAGATATAACAATGAAAAACTATACGCAGCAGATATAACAATAAAAAAGATAACATTACATATGTAACAATGAAAAAGTATACGTAACAGACGTAACAGTGCACACCGAGCAGCTAAAGTTAAATCATAAGAAAACAGGAATTATGGTCATCATCGAGAAGAAAGAAATACCATAATGTAAAGTCCATGCAAACAGAAAGATTTCTAAACAAGTCAACTAGTAAAACTATCTAGCAAACAAGATTAGAACAAAAACTGCCCTGGCAAAAGTAGCCTTTAGCGAGATGATGCGGAAGTGGCCTTCAGAAATAAGCAAAAGTGGCCTTAAGCAAGATGCAAAAATGGCCTTTAGCATTATGTAAAAGTGGCTTTAAGTGAGAGGCAAAAGTGGCTTTTAGTGAGAGGCAAAAGTGGCCTTTAGCAAGATGTAAAAGTGACCTTTAGTGAGATGCAAAAGCGGCCTTCAACGAGATGCAAAAGTGGCCTTTAGCAAGATGTACAAGTGACCTTTAGCTAGATGCAAAAATGACCTTTAGTGAGATGCAAAAGTGGCCTTTAGCTAGATGCAAAAATGACCTTTAGTGAGATGCAAAAGTGACTTTTAGCGAGATGCAAAAGTGGCCTTTAGCAAGATGCAAAAGTGGCATTTAGCAAGATACAAAGGTGGCCTTTAGGAAGATGCACAAGATGCTCAACATAAAGATACCAACTGCAATGAGAAAACAGTATTAAGGTACCATACAGAACCTGTATTATGAGACACAAACAGCTGTGTGTGGGTTCCAGAGCCCCATTGTGGGGAAAAACAAGAATAAACCCACTGCCTCATCAAAAAGAATGTCACAGCAGTTGACAAACTGGGAACTTCCTTCGAAGTCAGAATGCATCTGCCGGAGTGACAAGAAACAACCAACTGCCCAGAAATAAACCAGTAAAACGGATGTACACGCAAAACTCAAGCCCTGGCACAAAGCCAAAGTCCACATGGATGAACATTCAGGACTTTCTGCCAGAGCTTACAGCCAGTGAACAAAGAAGAAGAACAAGAAGATGAAAGAGAAGAGGACACAAACAGAAGAGCCAAACAAACCCCTACTGGCAGCAGAAATGTGTCTCTAAATAAACAATTGCAATGAGGATCATGCTGTAGCTGCTTCTGATCATCCTCCTCCTTCCACAAGATTGTTATGTTATTACAATTGACGTCTTTGCCCATTGGGCATCTCCATGCGTTGCTCAGTCCTCCGATGCAGCAGCAGCATCTACTGATTTTTTCCCATTAGGAGTTGGTTATAATATCTCCTGTCTTTACCTCAAAGACGGTAGTTCTGTCTTTACCTCAAAGACGGTACAGTCGTGCTTCACTAAGCTTAGCTCTTCAGTCACGCAGTTGTGTTAGCGTCAGAGATTCGCCATTATCATATAACCTAGTCCGTACAGCATTGATCAAATCAATTCTGTCCATACTTCTTCCCATTTGCATTGGAGTATCACTTGCCAGCTGGTCAGCTCTTTAGTTACCATTTACTCCTGCGTGCCCAGGTGTGTAGACCCAGATGATGGAGGTTACCTGCGACTTTTAAATGCTTTTTACCCATTTGGAGCATACACTACCTGCAGCGAATTTCTAAAACATGTTCATAGATCAACAAGAATGTTAAACAACATCAATTATAAACGCAAATGACAAGACACAAACAACAGAAGACACCCACCTGGAAGAAGGAAATACCTAAAGCAACACCTCCAATAGGTCCCATGTTTCCATTGATAAAGTTGACCACAAACTTATGGCAGCCCTGGGCAGAAATCAAACAATATCACTTTGACGACCCCAAAACATCTAGAACTGGCTCTAACCCGAACCCACCTACGTCCCATGACTGCATGCAGCCCATCTACCACCCCCTGAAATATTAAACTGTCCCGTGACCTGAGGATTTCCCTGTTTGGGGTAGGATATTAATAAAGCACCAATTATATGTGTATATGAACTGTGTGGGTGAGTGTGTAATAGAAAGAAAAAAGACAGAACAGGACAAGACATGACAAAACTAGACAGAACAGGACAAAACATGACAGAACAGAAGCATGACACATCATCAGGATAAAACAAGGCAGGATAAGATGAGACCAAGAACAAGACAGGACAGGACAAGACAGGACAGAAAAAAAGCTATACATCGTCATAAGGATAAGACATGACAGAACAAGACGGGACAGGAGAAGGACAGGACAAGAAAAGACAGAAGCTACACATCATAAGAATAAGACAGGAGAGTACAAGACAAGACAGAACAAGACAAACCAGAACAAGGCAAGACAGAACAAGCCAACACAGAACAAGACAAGACAGAACAAGACAAGACAGAACAAGGCAAGACAGAACAAGCCAACACAGAACAAGACAAGACAGAACAAGACAACACAGAACAAGACAGAACAAGACAACACAGAACAAGACAGAACAAGACAAGACAGAACAAGACAACACAGAACAAGACAACACAGAACAAGACAGAACAAGACAAGACAGAACAAGACAACACAGAACAAGACAGAACAAGACAAGACAGAACAAGACAAGACAGAACAAGACAACACAGAACAAGACAGAACAAGACAAGACAGAACAAGACAACACAGAACAAGACAGAACAAGACAAGACAGAACAAGACAACACAAAACAAGACAAGACAGAACAAGACAGGACAGGACAAGACAGGACAGAACAAAAGCTATACATCGTCATAAGGATAAGACATGACAGAACAAGACGGGACAGGAGAAGGACAAGACAAGAAAAGACAGAAGCTACACATCATAAGAATAAGACAGGAGAGTACAAGACAAGACAGAACAAGACAAACCAGAACAAAGCAAGACAGAACAAGCCAACACAGAACAAGACAAGACAGAACAAGACAAGACAGAACAAGGCAAGACAGAACAAGCCAACACAGAACAAGACAAGACAGAACAAGACAACACAGAACAAGACAAGACAGAACAAGACAACACAGAACAAGACAGAACAAGACAAGACAGAACAAGACAAGACAGAACAAGACAGAACAAGACAAGACAGAACAAGACAACACAGAACAAGACAGAACAAGACAAGACAGAACAAGACAACACAGAACAAGACAACACAGAACAAGACAGAACAAGACAGAACAAGACAAGACAGAACAAGACAACACAGAACAAGACAGAACAAGACAAGACAGAACAAGGCAACACAGAACAAGACAAGACAGAACAAGACAACACAGAACAAGACAAGACAGAACAAGGCAAGACAGAACAAGCCATCACAGAACAAGACAAGACAGAACAAGACAAGACAGAACAAGCCAACACAGAACAAGACAAGACAGAACAAGCCAACACAGAACAAGACAAGACAGAACAAGACAACAGAACAAGACAAGACAGAACAAGGCAAGAAGACATGGCAGAACAATACAGAACAGGAGAAGGACAGAAGCTATATATCATAAGAATAAGACAGGAGAGAACAAGATAAAACAGACCAAGACAAGACAGAACAAGACAATACAGAACAAGACAAGACAGAACAAGACAACACAGAACAAGACAGAACAAGACAAGACAGAATAAGACAACACAGAACAAGACAAGACAAAACAAGGCAAGACAGAACAAGCCAACACAGAACAAGACAAGACAGAACAAGACAAGACAGAACAAGGCAAGACAGAACAAGCCAACACAGAACAAGACAAGACAGAACAAGACAACACAGAACAAGACAGAACAAGACAACACAGAACAAGACAGAACAAGACAAGACAGAACAAGACAACACAGAACAAGACAACACAGAACAAGACAGAACAAGACAAGACAGAACAAGACAACACAGAACAAGACAAGACAGAACAAGACAAGACAGAACAAGACAACACAGAACAAGACAGAACAAGACAAGACAGAACAAGACAACACAGAACAAGACAGAACAAGACAAGACAGAACAAGACAACACAAAACAAGACAAGACAGAACAAGACAGGACAGGACAAGACAGGACAGAACAAAAGCTATACATCGTCATAAGGATAAGACATGACAGAACAAGACGGGACAGGAGAAGGACAAGACAAGAAAAGACAGAAGCTACACATCATAAGAATAAGACAGGAGAGTACAAGACAAGACAGAACAAGACAAACCAGAACAAAGCAAGACAGAACAAGCCAACACAGAACAAGACAAGACAGAACAAGACAAGACAGAACAAGGCAAGACAGAACAAGCCAACACAGAACAAGACAAGACAGAACAAGACAACACAGAACAAGACAAGACAGAACAAGACAACACAGAACAAGACAGAACAAGACAAGACAGAACAAGACAAGACAGAACAAGACAGAACAAGACAAGACAGAACAAGACAACACAGAACAAGACAGAACAAGACAAGACAGAACAAGACAACACAGAACAAGACAACACAGAACAAGACAGAACAAGACAGAACAAGACAAGACAGAACAAGACAACACAGAACAAGACAGAACAAGACAAGACAGAACAAGGCAACACAGAACAAGACAAGACAGAACAAGACAAACACAGAACAAGACAAGACAGAAACAAGGCAAGACAGAACAAGCCATCACAGAACAAGACAAGACAGAACAAGACAAGACAGAACAAGCCAACACAGAACAAGACAAGACAGAACAAGCCAACACAGAACAAGACAAGAGACAGAACAAGACAACAGAACAAGACAAGACAGAACAAGGCAAGAAGACATGGCAGAACAATACAGAACAGGAGAAGGACAGAAGCTATATATCATAAGAATAAGACAGGAGAGAACAAGATAAAACAGACCAAGACAAGACAGAACAAGACAATACAGAACAAGACAAGACAGAACAAGACAACACAGAACAAGACAGAACAAGACAAGACAGAATAAGACAACACAGAACAAGACAAGACAAAACAAGGCAAGACAGAACAAGACAACACAGAACAAGACAAGACAGAACAAGGCAAGACAGAACAAGACAACACAAAACAAGACAAGACAGAACAAGGCAACACAGAACAAGACAACACAGAACAAGACAACACAGAACAAGACAACACAGTACAAGACAACACAGAACAAGACAAGACAGAACAAGACAAGACAGAAAAAGACAAGACAGAAAAAGACAAGACAGAACAAGGCAAGAAGCTGCAAACATCACAGAAGTCGTGTCACTGATTCACACCTGGGTATAGATGTCCTCTACGGTGGCATTGCCGCCAGACAGTCCTATGTGATGACACTCCCTGACACTGACACGACAGCAGGACTCTGGCACAGACTTCTCTTCCTGGGCTCTGGAGTACGGGGTGTTGAACCAGTCTGTGTAGTTGTCGATGCCGCAGCACACCAGCTGAAACAGAAACAATGATAGGTGACGGCACAGGTAACAAGATATCTGCAAACTTCAGGTGCAACTTCTGTTCACCCTTTTGCTAGAGAACAAGACGCATACACATGTTGTAATTGTAACAGACTGAAAGCATGCTGAAAAAGGTGAAGACAGAGATGCTTCGAGCAGAGTGGCAAGCTTCGCTGGGAAGGTCACGGGTAGTGAGCATACTTTTGATCTTTTCTCCAGGCCATGCCGGTGTAGTGGGTAATGCAGAGGCAGATAGATTGGCTGGATATGCACCACTGGGTGGTGAATTGATACATGACAAGGTAGATGTGATCAAGGCCCTTTGGGAACAAGCAGTAGAGAAACAAGACTTTTACCCCCTGGAGAGAATGAGGCACCTGGGTGTAACCAGAGGGTCTGGCAGATTTACTACACTCAGAGGAAAGGCAAGACGGACATATAACCAGATTGTGACCGGTACCATCAGTATTGGAACTCGGCGCTGGCTGCTGAAGATGAGGATGGAGCACACATGGGAATGCCCCGAGTGCTGTGATGTCAGTTCTTGTCTCAACTCAACTCAACTTAGCCCTTTCACCCCGGAAAGCCACAAAACTGAAACTTGCTGGTTGATACTATTTCCCCGTTGCACCTAGGTGTGACCAGAAAAGTTGGCCGGTTCACTACACTCATAGGAAAGGCAAGATGGACAAATAACCAGACCACGACCAGTATCATTAGTACTGGTACTCTGCACTCGCTGCTAAAGATGGGGACAGAGCACATATGGGAATGCCCCAAGTGCTGTGATGCCAATCCTTGACTCATCTCTACAAATTCCCATAAAAGCCGCTTTCCCAGCTCGCTATGCAGATATGTTTAGGAAAGATAACATAATTTTTGCATCTGGGTCTCCACAAACGTTATGTATGTATATATGTAAGTTGTACCCCACCAGGACATCACACAAGGGATAAGCACCGGGTGACACAAAAAGCCACCATGCCGATGAGGACCACCGGTGGAGAGGTCCCGGAAACCTCGTTTAGCCATTTTGCCATATTTCAGGCCCGGCTATATTTGTGAGTTGAATGGAGGAGCTGAATGGAGTAGCTGAACAGAGAATTAATGGAAGAGTTAAATGGAGGAGCTGAATGAAGGAGTTATATGGAGGATTTGAACAGAGGAGTTGAATGGAGGAGCTGAATGGAGGGGTTGAATGGAGGAGCTGAATGGATGAGTTGAATGGATGAGCTGAATGGAGGGGTTGAATGGAGGAGCTGAATGGATGAGTTGAATGGAGGAGCTGAATGGAGGGGTTGAATGGAGGAGCTGAATGGAGGGGTTGAATGGAGGAGCTGAATGGATGAGTTGAATGGAGGAGCTGAATGGAGGGGTTGAATGGAGGAGCTGAATGGATGAGTTGAATGGAGGAGCTGAATGGAGGGGTTGAATGGAGGAGCTGAATGGAGGGGTTGAATGGAGGAGCTGAATGGAGGAGTTGAATGGAGGAGCTGAATGGAGGGGTTGAATGGAGGAGCTGAATGGAGGGGTTGAATGGAGGAGCTGAATGGAGGGGTTGAATGGAGGAGCTGAATGGAGGGGTTGAATGGAGGAGCTGAATGGAGGGGTTGAATGGAGGAGCTGAATGGATGAGTTGAATGGAGGAGCTGAATGGAGGGGCTGAATGGAGGAGCTGAATGGAGGGGTTGAATGGAGGAAACTTGAATGGAGGAGCTGAATGGAGGAGTTGAACAGAGAATGAATGGAGGAGTTGTATAGAGAATAAATGGGGGAGTTGAATGGAGGAGTTGTATAGAGAATAAATGGAGGAGTTGAATGGATGAGTTGTATACAGAATAAATGGAGCAGTTAAATGGATGAGTTGAATGGAGGAGTTAAATGGATGAGTTGAATGGAGGTTCTTCTTGTGGGTTCCAGGCTTGCATGTTGGAGAATAAAGAACAGACCCACTGACCCCTAACAAGTAGTGATTGCCTGTGTCACATTCACAGGCATGCTTCGTGCACAGTGGCATGCCTCACTGCAGGGGACACGGGTGAGGAGTATTGTCTGATTTTTTCACCGGGGGGCACGCCAGTGTGTTGGGAAATTAACAGGCAGACGGGCTGGCTGGCTCTGCACAACTTGGTGGAATACTGATGCATGGTAAGGCAGATGTGGTTAGTGCCTTGTGGAAGAGCGTGTAGAGTTCAGAGGAGCAGATGGATCACCACAGTCTGGTGAGATTGATGCAGGATGCAGGGGGGTGGGGGGTGACGAGAGGTTCTGGCAAATGCTCGAGGCTCAGAGGAACGGCAAGACGGATGTTCAATCAGAATGTTACTGGAACCATTAGTATCGGAATTCTTCGATTACTGCTGAAGATGGGGACGGAGCACTTATGAGAATGCCCCGAGTGCTGTGATGTCAGTTCTTGAATCAAATAAAATCAAATAAAATTAGCCACATTCAAGACTGGCGCTCTGAATGAAACATTTGGTGAGACAGGAAGTGAGCAAATGTGTGTATGCATGAGCGAGAAAAAGGATGGGCAGCCAAAAGGGAGTCAGAGAGATACAGAGAGAGATAACCTGTTGAAATGCATTTTCTGTTATCATCCTCATCATTATCATTAGGAAAAAAAAAATCTTGGTTCGTCAGTAAAGATTCTATGAAAGAAAACCCAACTTCCATCACCATTATTTATATGATTTTTTTTTTATTTTTGGATGTATTTTTGCATATGTCAGAAACATAAACAAATAGCATCACCTTGAAAAACACAAAGAAAAGAAATTTACTGCCCCTTGTATATATGAGCGGTGTCTGTGGCTTAGGCGTTGCGAGTCTGACTCGTAATCCAACGCACCACGATCGAAACTCACTGCTGGCTGCGTGGATTTCTATTGTAGTATGGGGTGTCGCAGGTCGACCCAGCCTAAAATGGGTACCAGGATGGCTGTCCTGGGGAAGTAAAGACAGCCGGTGTAATGCTGACCACATTACCCATCCAGTACAGATTGGTCGGTAAAAATATGGGACGCTCTGCCCATATACCCGATGCGCCTTAGGCGTAAAAAGGGATTTTTACTTAACTTTCTTGTATATATGAACTGTTGTCTTGAACAAATATTTTAAAATAATGATAATAATAAGTAAGGAGGTGACTAGTTAGGTGTATTTCTTTCAAAGAGGAACTGCATTTGCCTGAGAGGCAGGTAATCAACAAACTGCATAAAAATAAGCCAGATATGAAAAATGGATGTGCTTGCAAAACTCAAGTTCTAAATCAAGAACAAGAGTGGACAAACAAAAAGAACTTGAAACTATAGTGCAGTTATTTGTGTCTTTTTCTTATATAAATTCAGGGGGCTGCGTGGTCTCGAGGCATGGTGTCCACCTCGAGGGCTAGAGGCTCCGGTTCAATCCTCAGTAAGGGCTGAGATTTTTTCCCGTGGACTTGGACTTCTAGTAATTCCCCCTGGTCTCTGGGATGTGAGATCGTGTGTATTGTTGCCCACGTAAAAAATCCCTTGGCAGTTGGAAATCAAAAAAAGGAGCAAAACGGCGCTGCTGGGCAAAATGTGGAGTTGAAAATCTACCCAAAGTATTTCCGGATCCTTGCCGGTACCTCATAGCCTGTGCACTGTGCTGAGCTTCTTCGGACTCAGACTCGAGTTAGAAGAAGAACGGAGCACTTATGGGTTACTACCCGTGTGCCATGATGTTGATCCATTGTTCAAAAACCAAAAAAAAACGTATAAATCCCAGAAGATTCTTTATCTGCTGTATCGAGAATAGGTCTTAATGTAGATTCTGTGAGAGCTACCATGGTGTAGCGGCTAGAGTCCGCCTGCGGATGGGAAGGTCACGGGTTTGGGTCCTGATGTAGGACTTTGTCTGTGCCAAGGTTTCATACATCAAACAAAAAATGCATAAGGAAACTAAAAAGTACAAAAGTAAAGATTTTAAATAATGCTGACACAAACAATACATTGCACAATTTACTGCCAGGCATATTTCGCTGTAACTCATCAGGTGCGTTACTACAGAGTTACATCAACATAAAATAAAGCACAAAACTGAATAAATCCAACTAAAATGCAAACAGTTTCTTCCGATACATTGTGTGTGTTTTATGGCTGCTGGAAGCTCACCATAGTCACATGACTTACCAGCTGGTATGTGACTTATTTAAAGACAAGGAAGATGGTAAGTCTTCTTCTTGTTCTTTTTTTTTTTAAATGATCTTGGCACTTGAGGTCAACTAAACCTTGAGTGGGTACAAAGTACAATCCTGAGAAGTAGAGAAGGCTGACATGATGTTAACCACATCACCCACCCAGTGCTGATTGGTCTATAAAATATAGGTCTAGCCCTATATGCCCAACACGCCTAAAGGTGTGAAAGAGGGTCTTCTACTTTTACTTTACTGTATTTTCTGTTGAAGTTCTCTCATCTCATGCAGAATTTTCTTCTTCTCTTCATTGTCTTTGTAGAAGTTTGCTGGGCTTTCCTCTTTTGCCTTTCTGTTTTTGTTTAAGTCCCCAAATGGAAAGAGAAGGCCAATCACAGAACAAATGAACAAACTTTTATTTTCAAATGGTCTTGAATGTTGAATTAAGAATCAATATCACAGCATTCGGAACACCCCACACGCGCGCCGTCCCCATCTTCAGCGGCAAGCGAAGAGTTAAAATTCTGATGGTACCGGTAACTGTCTGATTGCATATCTGCCTCGCCTTTTCCCTAAGCTGCGGATAGACGCCGTCAGGACAAAACTTGGGTGACCGTTTACTTTCTGTACTAAAAGATTATTTTCTATGGATTTTGTATTTAATAAATGGTCGCAAATAGGGCGTGCAGGCCTGTCTTACATTTGGCCCTACAAACCAACATGAATGTAAGCAGGTGATATCTGCAGCAGTGGACCTCAAGGGCTCGGAATGCTGAAGAAGATGAAGAAGAAGTTCACTGTACCTCTAAACCAGTGGTTCTTAAACTTCCTAAAGCCGCGACACTTTGATACAGTTCCTCATGTTGTAGCGACCCTCAACCATACAATTATTTTCATTGCTACTTTATAGCTTCAGTGAATAAGTTTTTTCAGACGGTCTTAGGTGACCCCTGTGAAATGGTCGTTTGACCCCAGAGGGGTCGCGACCCACAGGCTGAGGACAGCCGCTCTAAACGGTAAATGAGGAAAGGTGTTGATGACCACATCCTGTAAAGTGTATGCTGGCTTTCCAGTGCATACCACAACTACAAGACATTCCTACTTGAAAGATCGATTTCCACTTCAGGTAAAAGCTAAGAATGTTGAATGTTGAATTAAGAATCAACATCCCAGCACTCGGGACACTCCCAACTAAGTGCTCTGTCCCCATCTTCAGCAGCTACTGAAGAGTTCCAATTCCGATGGTACTAGCTCCGACAATAATAAAAGCTAAGAAAATCATACCTTTCTCTGTAGTTCATCAAGGGCATTGGTAATCTCATTTTCTCCTTTCTCGTCGTACTTCTGCAGGGCATTGGTCAAGCCTTCTTTGAAACCTCTCTCAAGCTGAGAACAAGGAATAATACAAAACTGATTGTCTGTGCAAAGTTTTAATACATCAAACAGAAAATGCCTAAGGAAACTAAAAAGTACAAAAGTAAAGATCCCTTTCCACGCCTTTAGGTGCATCGGGAATATGGTAAGAGCACCCATATTTTTACAGACCTATCAGCACTAGGTGGGTAATGTGGTCAGCATTACGCCGGTCGTCTTTACTTTCTCAGGACAGCCATCCTGGTACCCATTTTAGGCTGGGTCGACCTGTGACACCTCATACCATGATAAAAATCCACACAACCAGCAGTTGATTTGGCGCATGAAGGAAAGGGATGAACAATCAATGGAGATGACCTTAATAAAGATGAAAAATAATAAGAGAGATGGCTGATTGTCTGTAAAAAGGTTTAATACATTAAACAAAAAATGCCTAAGGAAACTAAAAAGTACAAAAGTAAAGATTTTAAATAATGTGGACACAAACAATACATTGCACAATTTACTGCCAGGCATATTTGGCTGTATCTCATCAGGTGCGTTACTACAGAGTTACATCAACATAAAATAAAGCACAAAACTGAATAAATCCAACTGAAATGTGAATAGTTTCTTCTGATACATTGTGTGTGTTTTATGGCCGCCGGAAGCTCACCATAGTCACGTGACTTACCAGCTGGTGTGTGGCTTATTTAAAGACAAGGAAGATGGTAAGCCTTCTTCTTCTTCTTCTTCTTAGTGTTAACCAGCCGTAAACAGCAGCAGAACGATCTGGATGTTTATTAGACTTTAAGCTTGTTCCAGAGCCTAAGTTTTGTGTCCATGTGCAGACACTTGTATGTAAACTTGTTTTTGTTTTCTTCCTCTTAGGCAGATAACCGTGCCTTAGAAGAAAACAAGACTAATTAGTTGACTCTTATGATGAGGCAGTGGGTCAACTGTTTTTCTTTATAATGGGGCACCCGAACCCACACTGGGAGGATGGATTAATGCAGCCGAGGAAATAAGAGGAATGGCCGGATAATCACTTGCAAGATGACAAAGATAAAGCTGAGGGGCTGCGTGGTCTCGAAGTATGGCATCTGCCTTGAGTGTTGGAGGTCCCGGGTTCAAACCCCAGTGAGGGCTGGGATTTTTTCATGTGGACTTCTAGTAATTTCCCCTGGTTTCTTGGTAGTCAGACCAGACGCCTGTGATGCGCACGCAAAAAATCCCTTGGCAGTTGGAAATTAAAAAAGAGTAGCCCTGGCAAAATTTGGAGTAAAAATCTACCCCAAAAAATTCAGGATCCTCGGTGCTACGGAGTTCGTGCACTGCGCTGAGATTGTTTAGACTCAGACTTGAATCAGAAGTAGAACAAAGCACTTATGGGTTACACCCATATGCCAAGATGTTGATCTAATCAATAAACATAAACATAAAGACAAAGAAGATAGTAATTAATTGTGCACAAAGAAGATGGTAAATAATTGTGCACATTATGAGAAGCTGACACAGAATTGCAAAACAGCTGCTGCAATGGGAAACAAGTGAAATTTAGTAAACAATAACATCCAGGAGACAACCTAAGATGTTCATTGTCTAGGCAGGACAAAGCCATGATACTGAAAAGATTGCTCAGGACAGGGCAAAATGAAGAAACACACTGAGTCCTGTGCAATGGACACAGCTCTATACAATGATGATGATGATTCTCCAGGTCATGCCGGTGTGCTGGGAAATGAGCTGGCAGATAGACCGGCCGGTTCTGCATTACTTAGTGGTGAACTGATGTATGACAAGCTGGATGATGTGATGTGAGGGCCCTTTAGGAGCGAGTCAACAATGCTGAGGCACAAATAGATCATTACTGTCTGAGGAGAATGGCACCGCGTGCAGTTACAAGGGGTTCTGGCCAAGGCTCAACACTGAGGGAAAAGGCGAGACGGATATTCAATCAGACAGTTACTGATACCATCGAAATTTTAACTCTTCGCTGCAGCTGAAGATGGAGACAGAGCACTTATGGGGGTGTCCTGAGTGCTGTGATGTCGATATTTAATTCAAAATTCAACAACAATGATAATGATTATTGTCTGTGCTGCATGCAGAACTAAGTGATACATATGTCCTCAAAACATGATTCATCTGTATTCTCTCTCTACTTAAAGGGAGTCGCCGTGGCCAAGCGGCTACAAGCTCATCGCGGATCGGAAGGTCGTGGGTTCGCTCCCTGGCGGAGCCGGACTTTTTCAAAAATGACCTTGTCTTCCAGGTCGACCCAGCCTTGAGTGGGTACCGGGTGCAGCCCCGGGAAGTAAAGACGGCTGACTTGATGCTGACTACATCACCCATCTTGTGCCAATTGGTCTATAAAAATATAGGTCTAGTCCTATATGCCCTATACGCCTAAAAGGCGTGGAAAAGGGTCCTTTACTTTTACTTTTCTCTACTTAAACTTAAAGCTGACACAGATATTTAGTCACAGACATCAAATCTTGCTCCACAAACACTCCATCCATCCTGTACTGCAGAAACACTTTATTGCCTAAATGGGAATTCCCCATCCCAAAGACCTCAGTTCCAAACTGTTGCATGCTGTAGGTTATTTCCTTCAAATTCACAGAGCATCTGTCTGAGAGGTAAGGAACCAACAGTCTGCATACAAATAAGGCAGAGCTGTAAAATGGATGTGCATGGAAGAAAATTCAAGTTCCGGATCAAGACCAAAGTCAGCGAGTGTATGAACAACCAGAACTTTTCACCAGAATTTACAGCTGGGGGACGCCCCAAAAAAAAACACAAGAGTAGTCATTAACTTTTCTCCTGTAGTGTTTTCTTTTTTTAAACCAAACACCCATATGCATGCACAAACGTACATGCATGCACACACATATACATAAGAGGACTGACTGACCAACCTTGCTTCTCTAGATCCATACACACCCACCCACACATGCACGCATATACATACACAGACACACACAAATGACCCACCTTGCCAATGAAGATTTCACACCCACCCACCCATGCACACACACACACACAAGAGACCCACTTTGTCCCTGCAGATCCACGCACATATATACACACACACACACACACACACGCGCGCATCCACCCACCCACACACACAAAAGACCCACCTTGCCCCTGTAGATCAACATAGCAATGCCAGCGCTGAGTTCTACAATAAAGATGATAAACAGGAAGCCAGCAAACTGTGGATAGAAAACCGTTTCAGTGTTAGTGTGGGGAACTTCTGTGTGTCAGTGTGTGAGAGTTTCTGTGTGGGTGTCTGTATGTGAGAGACACTAATGTGTGGATTTTTTGTGTCAGAGACACATCTAGATGGGTGCCTGTGTGTTAGAGACACTTCTGTGTGGGTGTTTGACTGTGTGAGATGCATCTTTGTTGTTGTGGGTATCTACTTGTGAGAAACACTTCTGTAGGGCTATCTGTGTGTGAGAGACATCTGTGTGGCTATCTGTGTGTGAGAGAGACATCTGTGTGGCTATCTGTGTGTGAGAGACATCTGTGTGGCTATCTGTGTGTGAGAGAGACATCTGTGTGGCTATCTGTGTGTGGAGACATCTGTGTGGCTATCTGTGTGTGAGATGTAGAGGCAAAAACGTTGTATTTCACTGAAGGGGTGGGGGGGGGGGGAGAACAATAAAATACAGTGTTTATGAAAAGATTCAGAATTAAAAGAGAGCTGATGAAAGAAAAAAAAAAACTATCAAGATATTTCAACAATATTTAAACACAACATGCTTTTAATAAAGATACCTGAGGGTATAGCTAAAGAATCCGGGCAAAAGGTAGACAATGATACAAGTGAGAAGACAACATCAAGAGACAGTCAAACAGCAGTCTGAAAGAGTGTACAACAAAGACAAGAGATAGAAAGTGTTGGAGATCCATTTCAGCCAATCTTCATTGTGGAGATGGCACCTGATTGTTTAACTAATTTTTAGATGGCAATGTTAAAGTAAAGGACCTTTTTCCTCCTTTACTTCTTAGGACTTTATCTGGTAAATATTTCAGGCTGGGTTGGCCTGGCCGCCAAGATCATTTTTGGAGAAGAAAATGTCCATCATCCATCCGGATTTGAACCCATGATCTTAGGATCCACTGGTGAGCATCTAGCTACTACACCATAATGCAATGGGTTCTCCTCTTCGATCCTTCTGTCAGAAAACTTATATCAGCGCTGGTAGCATTTATGAAAGCTATCATGCAGTCCATTTATTCACGTGTACCATACAGCTTTGTCTTCACCTAGGTTGGAACAGGCCAGAATGTGTCTTTGCTGGCAACATACAGGTGACAGTGTTGAATCACATGCTCAGCATTTTCTGATGCCAAGCTGCAGGGACACATGTCTGTGTTTCCTACACTGACAGATTTGAACATATAAAGGCTATTTCAACATCAACCTCCTATGAAACAGAAAAATGACCCTTTTCCATGCCTTTCAGGCATATTGGATTTCTTCTTCTTCTTCGCGTTCACCAGCTGTAAACTCTAGTTGTTTATCCACTTTTGGACTGCAGTCCTGTTCCAGAACCTGAATGTTGCATGTGCATCCGTTTTACAGATCTGACTCATTTGTATGCAGAATGCAGGTTCCTTGCCTCTCAGGCAGAGACACTCCGACTTTGAAGGAAGCTCCCAGTTAGTCGACTCTTACAACATACTTTTGGGTAAGCAGTAGGTCTATTCTTGTATTCCCTATAACAGGGCCCTGGAACCCACACAGGCAATATTGGGTATATAGGGCTAGACCTAAATTGTATAGACCAACGGCACTTGGTGAGTGATGTGGTCAGCATTACATTGGCTGCCTTTTACTTTCCAGGACTGTAACTGGTACCAACTTAAGGCTGGGTCAAACTGGAAGCCAAGGTCACTTTTGAAAAAAGTCCAGCCCCCATCAGGAACTGAACCCACGCGCATCTGATCCGAGGCAAGCATCTAGACTCTAAACCCGGGTGGCTCCCAAACTCCTATTGACTGGTTTTAAAAAAAAAAAAAAACATCTGCCATAGTGACACCATTCATTGCCTGCATGCTTACCATCTGCTTAAAATAAAACTTAGGAGAAGAAACACTAAACACAAATGTTGACAACAATGGTGCTGAAATCCAATGCTATAATTATGGAAGACTTTTCTTGACACGGGCGAGTCTTGCTAGTCACACTCGCCATCGCCATGGGCTGTGAGTCCCATGCCTCCTCATAGCGCTATATAACACTATTGTCTGGAAAGATGGAAAGGTGCCATACCGTTTAAAAAAAAGTAATTACCCCACAAATTTCACAGCTAGGCTACTGAAGGACGCAAGCAATGAACGGTATCACTATGGTAAACAGTTTATTTTTACCAGTCAGTCAGAAGGAAAATAGTCACGATAAAAATGACATGTTTACACACTATGCTAGGTGTAACGAGGAAAGATTGACTTAGGAATGATGATATCAGGAGGAGAGTAGGCAAAGAACCAATTCTGAACTTTATAGGTAGACAAAAAATCAAATGGTTTGGCCATGTAACAAGACTGGCAGCAGACAGGGCCCCACAGAGAGCAATGTTTTGCAGATACAGTGGTAACAGACCCAGAGGTCGACCACGCAGAAGATGGGCAGCATAAATTTCAGAGACACTGAAAAGTACTACAGACGAAGCAAACAGAAGGGCCCATGCTAGAGATCTCTTCTTCCCCTGACGCTGCAAGGCATTCCAGGAGTAGAGAAAAGAAGAAGAAGAAAAATCAGAGGTTGATTTTGGAATAGCCCTCTTTTGCTGGGGAATTCTCTTGTGCCCTGTCCTTAGTCTGAATATAACACAGTGTGCCTCTCTATAATCTAAGAGAAGAGCAAAGAACACAATATAACACAGTATGCCTCTCTATAATCTAAGAGAAGAGCAAAGAACACAATATAACACAGTGTGCCTCTCTATAATCTAAGAGAAGAGCAAAGAACACAATATAACACAGTATGCCTCTCTATAATCTAAGAGAAGAGCAAAGAACACAATATAACACAGTGTCCCTCTCTATAATCTAAGAGAAGAGCACAGAACACAATATAACACAGTGTCCCTCTCTATAATCTAAGAGAAGAGCAAAGAACACAATATAACACAGTGTCCCTCTCTATAATCTAAGAGAAGAGCAAAGAACACAATATAACACAGTGTGCCTCTCTATAATCTAAAAGAAGAGCAAAGAACACAATATAACAGAGTGTCCCTCTCTATAATCTAAGAGAAGAACAAAGAACACAATATAACAGAGTGTCCCTCTCTATAATCTAAGAGAACCTTAAGAACTTGCCTCAAGAAATCGCGCAGCACTGCTCCAGGCCCTGACGGCATCCGATACAACGACATGCTGATGATGTCGAATGCTGATTTGAAAAGCGTGGCAAAGGAATTCAATATCAGCATCCAGAGTGGCCAGATACAAGAGGAATGGCTCCATAGTTATTTGTTCCCACTACCAAAGCCTAATAAAGACCACTCAAAGATCTGCGGCTACAGAATAATCTCGATGCAGAATACTGTTGGCAAACTTTTGGAAAAAATTGTCGCACAAAGATTGACCACCTACTTGGAACTACATGATAAGTTCCCACCAACACTTGGAGGGTACAGGTTAAATAAAGAGACATGGTTCAATGCTGCAGTTTTCGCCTACGATGTGTACGAGGGATTTCAGATTAAAGAAGAGACATGTGCGGCAGTGTTGGACTTAGAAGATGCCTACAATAAAGTACCATACGATTATTTAATGCAATTACTGCTTAAACTAGAAGTTAATCCTATTCTGATCCGCTGGATTGCTGCGGTCCTGTTCCAGAGAAAGATTGTACTAAGATGTGGTAGCTGGTCCTCCGAACCGCAAATGATATGTCCAGGCTTGCCACAGGGATCACCGCTATCACCAGTCTTATTCAACGTTTACACGGTGATGATCACTGAGCAGCAGTTGAATGGAAAGGGAAGGACTTTGTCATTTGCTGATGACATTTTGATTTATCGACGAGGGCGTGATAGACAGGAGATCGCCAGCACTATGCACAAAGAACTCGATCGAATTGCCGCCTGGTGTGATGGTTCCAATGCCTATGTCAATCCTTCGAAGGCATCAGTGTCATGGTTCTCTTTGAACAATCACATTGTCAAGTCGGACTTACCAGAAGTGAAAATGCGTGATAATGCATTGATCAGAACCAACGTTATGACGTTTCTCGGGGTGAGGTTCGATCGCAGCTTGTCATTCAGGGAACACGTTGACCATGTGATAACAAAAGCACGCAAAGGTCTATCTGCAATGAGGATTATGGCTGCTTCCAATATTGAGCAAAGACTACTAATACTTCTATTCTACGGTCTGGTCCTTTCCCCCATAGAATACGCTCTGGCCATCCTCACTGTCAGTGCTACCCAGATTGAACGACTCGAAAAGGTGCAAAATGAAGCCATGCGCATTATTTTGGGATGTACTAGAGACACATCCTGTGGAGCAATGAGGTATCTACTTGACTTTCCAACAATGAACTAAAGGATCAGGATGTGGAGGGCTCGGGCATATCTCAAAATATGCGCTGATAAGAAACACCCACTGCATCAAGCGCTTTTTAGTGAAAAGGGCGACAGACTGAAGAGGGGGAAATCGTGGCTAGGTCGGGCAGAAGATGTCATTAGGCAAATATGCAGCCTAACCGACATCATACCTGGTGCAGAATGGATACCTGTGCCTCAGGCGTTTATTTGTACATTTTCCTGTATTGTCACACTCAACAGGCGATGTAGAGAAGAGAATCCTGTTGCTGTTAATGCAGAGGTCAACGCTCTCATCGGTGAAAATTCAGACGAAGCAGATGCAATAATCTATACAGACGGATCCGTTATACGCCAAAGAAGAAGCGCATGGGCATTTACAGCACGCTCAGCGGGCAGAACAGTCAAAGAAGCCAACGGCGCCTTCTCCATGACAACCAGCAGCATGACGATGGAGGTGATGGCAGTGACACAAGCGCTTGCCTGGCTTGAAACACAAAAATACACCCGCGTGTGTATACTCAGTGATTCAATGAGTATGATCCGGAGGGTTCAGGCAGGTTCAGTGCGAAGACAATGGCTTGAATCATTACAGAAATCCACTGTTCGTGGAGTCACCTTTATTTTTGTTCCGGGACACGCAGGCGTCGATGGAAATGAAAGAGCTGACAGGTTGGCTGGATCCGCTATCACTACCGACGGTCAGCCTATGGATCATGCTGATATTATCAATGCCCTCAGAGAAATGGGAAGAATAGAGGACTTTGGTGGCAGTGAATCCACATCACTCGCCAGAATGGCAGACTTGGGAATTAAGATCGGCACAGCAAAAAACGAGACGCACACCAGCTACGCCAGAAGACTTGTTAATCAACATAGAACTGGTACTATTAGCCATCGGACGTTGGGGTTCATACTGAGGGGAGGATCTGAGTACCTATGGACATGTCCGGAGTGCAATGAGGATAACCCAACTAACTAACTAACTAACTAACTAATCTAAGAGAAGAGCAAAGAACACAATATAACACAGTGTCCCTCTCTATAATCTAAGAGAAGAGCAAAGAACACAATATAACACAGTGTCACTCTCTATAATCTAAAAGAAGAGCAAAGAACACAATATAACACCGTGTCGCCTCTCTATAATCTAAAAGAAGAGCAAAGAAGACAAACACCCTTACCATGTGCAGAAGGAAGGAGTGACCCTTGATCGTGCAGCAACATCCTAGAGACCCAATGAGGACAATGACGGCACCGACACCAATGAGAACATATGGGGCCTCCGGCTGGTAGATGGAGGACAACTCCAGGTACTTGTACAGGTCAACCTTGGTCCAGATGCCAATGGCCAGAATCACAATTCCAGTGACCTGTTAGGAGAAAAGGGGGTCACATATTAGACTGACATTTGAAGTGGACAATTAGTGATTAGAAAGGATTATCATCACAGCACTGCGGACTGATCCATAGGTGCTCCGATCTCCTCCTCAAAAGCTCCACAAGTGTAAAACAACTGATGACGCCTGTTCTGTGTTGGTTAATGAAACGTCTTGTCCTCTAATTGAAATGTTCATTTCTTGCAGCTCCAGGCAGCTCCATCTGTCTAGAGAGGGATACAGAGCCATGTCCTTTGGCATGCTGCTCGGTTCAGTAAGTGCAGCGCATGGCATTAATAACATCACTTCTTCTGTCCAGTACTTTGCCAGCCATAGCAACTGCAGTGTCAGCAAGATAGTCTGCACGCTCGTTTCCTTAAACACCCGCATGACCTGGCACAAAGACAAAGGTTAGGGCAGATATTCGTGAAGTGCTTAGTGTTGCAATCCATTCTTGCCTGATAAATCCAGTTTGGATTTTTTTAAGCATATTTATCGAGTCACTAAGAATGCATACGTGTGTGAACTTTTGAGTACCAAGCCGTTGAAAATCTACCCAAATTACTTCAGGATCCTTGCCGGTGCTACAGAGTTCATGCACTGCGCTGAGATTCTTCAAACTCAGACTTGAGTTAAAAGCAGAAAGGAGCACTTATGGGTTACTACCCTTGTGTCATGATGTTGATCCGTTATTTAAACCGTAAACCTTAAGATCCCAATAATAACAACATTAGTCATAAAAAAAACAGAACTGCTGAAGGAAAAACAAACAGAATAATATATTTGAAATATCATGACATGTATAAACAAACATCTAAAAGGAGACTTTCTATACATGGTTTGGGGCGGGGGCAGAGAAGGGGGGGGGGTGAGCTTAGTCTGCTTACAAATTTTGGAATGGGTGGGTGGGGAGGGGGGCCTGGCGCTTGAACAGTCAGCTCTTGATAAAACTGTCGATACCAATGCAAAGTGATATGCTGCCAAAGAGCCTGCTCCAGGGATCGAATCTGGTACCTCTGCATCAGGAAGCATGTTTGCAAGGCCTTAGCCATACACATCCATTGTGGGAGAGGAAGAAGACAGGAGGAGGACAGGAGGGAGACTGGAGGAGGACAGGAGGGAGACAGGAGGAGGACTGGAGGGAGACAGGAGGAGGACAGTAGGAAGACAGGAGGAGGACAGGAGGGAGACAGGAGGAGGACAGGAGAGAGACAGTATAAGGAAAACAGCATGAATGTAAAGGAGAAGACAGGAGGAGGGAGCTAAAAAAAAACATGTATGCAGGAGGGTAGGTAATAAGGATATATATGAGACTAATGAGCAAAGATGTATAGGAGTTACGGCAGGATGGAAGAAAGAAATTAGGGAAGATGCACAGGCGGGATACAGGATGAGGAAAATAAAGGCAGGAGGATGTGTAGAAGGAAAATAGGATCCAAAAAAGAAACACAGGAGTAAGATAGGATGCAGAAAAAATAAACACGGGAGGTGGACACGAGAGAGAGAGAAAGTGGACAGGTGGATAAAGCAATCAGCTGAGTTAATCTATGAATGTGTTTGGTCATGTAGAATTGTCTCTTGCTTGAGGAAATATGAATGAAAGCTCCAAACTGACACTAAACGTGTGGCTGACCAGTGATTATCTTTCGGCCACTGAGAACAGTGATCCCAATCAATGAATCCGGCTCATCCACACAATCATTAGCACCTTCTTTTCTTCTTCTTTTGTCCAAATCTGCTTGTGCCGCTAGGCGTCGCAGTCTATCAGATGATCGGCAACCGAGCCAGGGCGCGCTCAGTCGCTTCAAATGCCGTGATGTTATGAAGTCTCAAGTTGTCCGTGACTCCTTCAATCCATCTTCTTCTTGGTCTTCCCCTGCCTCTTGGTGTTTCGATTTTCATGTTGTATGCTCTTGATGCTGGCATCGTTGGTTCCATTCTCACTAGGTGACCAAACCATTTCATTCTTTGCTTCTCAATAAATTTAACGATGGGTATCACATCATTTCTCACTCGATCTCTTCTGGTTTTATTCGCAGCCATTCTCAAACATCTCATTTCACAGGTGGTTAGTCTTCTCTCGTGTTCTTTTGTTAATGTTCAAGTCTGACATTGATAACCTAATGTCGGTATAAAGATTGTATTTATAATCATTAGTACCGGAGCTTGTAAAAGACGACACCGAGTACCTGGCAACTATTGCCCTGTGTTGTGTCACGCCCGGAAAAAAATTGGGAGTTAAAAATCTACCCCAAAGTATTTCAGGATCCACTGCCTACCCAAAAGCATGTCGTAGGAGTCGACTAACTAGGAGCTTTCTTCGAAGTCAGAGTACATCTGCCTGAGAGGCAAGGAACCAACAATCTGCATACAAATGAGTCAGACCTGTGAAACGGATGTGCACGCAACACTCAGTTTCTGAAACAGAACTAGAGTCCAGAAGTGGACGAACAACCAGAATTTTCCGCTGGAGTTTACAGCCGGTGAACGCGAAGAAGGTTCTGGCTAAAGCAATGGTTCTCAACCTCCCAATCGCCACGACCCTTTAATACAGTTCCTCATGTTGTGCTGACCCCCAACCACAAAATTATGTTCTTTGTTATTTCATAACTTTAGTGAAATTGTGTTTACCGATGGCCTTAGGCGACCTATGTGACAGGCTCGTTCAACCCACAAAAGGATCGCGACCCACAGGTTGAGAACCGTTGTGTTAAATGAAATACACAGGAAAGAACAGAATAGAACGTATAGACTTCAGTACCTCATGATGCATAAGGGTACAATGGAATGAATGAATGAATGATTGAATGAATGAATGAACCAGCAACACCTATGGGCAACAGTCGCATAATTCGCGAGAGTCTGGCAAAGTTAATGAATGTGTTTTGGAGACTATACCCTTCCCTTCCCCCTCTTCAACCTATAAAAAAAGAAATTTTAAATAAACGAGAGAACACAGATAACAGATGATGGAAAAGACTAAAAAAGAAAGAAATGCAAGCGACAATGATAGAACGAAGATGGAAAGAGAGAGAAGAGCACTATGCCACAAGAAAGAAAGAAACAAACAAACAAACAAACAAACAAAGAAAAGACGTCAGTAACAATCACAGCAACGCTGATTCAGAATCTCACACTTTCCTAGCCCTACTCGAGAACCTCCACACATCCTTACCCACAGAGGGCTCAAGCTGACACAGTTGAGTTGAGTCAAGAATTGACATCACAGCACTCCAGGCATTTCCATGCGTGCTCCGTCTTCAGCAGCCAGAGCAGAGTTCCAATACTAATACTGCCGGTCGTAATCTGGTTAAATGTCCGTCTTGCATTTCCTCTGAGTGTAGTGAGCCGGCCAGATCCCCTGGTGCATCATTCTCTCCAGGCCATAATAATCTTGTTTCTTTTCTGACTTCGTTGCGAAGGCGACATATGGCTGGTATAACCGTTACCGTTTCTAAAACAATCACAACTTCGCTGGGCAGGTCATTTAGTCCGCATGCCTAACCACCGACTAGCAAAAGGAATTTTCTATTGTGAACTACTAAAAGGTAAACGCTCTCAAGATGGACAGAAGAAACGTTTCAAGGACAACCTCAAGACCTCACTGAAAGATTTCTGTACTGATCCTAAAACCTGGGAAGTCGCAGCATGTGACCGCTCACCCCGGCGATCCTCTCTTCATAGAGGAGCTGTGGCCCACGAAGCTGCTAGAACTGTAGCAGCAGTTTAGAAAAGACAAGCCATGAAAGACAATGAAGCAAATCACCAGAGAGATGCGTCTTCTATTAGCTGTCCACGTTGCTCAAGAACTTTCAGTACTAGAATTGGCCTTATCAGCCATCTGCTCACTCACAAAACCCAACCCAGTCACCATTGGATGAAAGGACTGGTTATCATCAATTGTGATGGACGAACAACATAACCGTTACCAGTATCCTAATTAATAACTTCTCTGGGGGTATCTAAGATCTGCCATCTTGATTTGTCAACCACTAGCTGCTGCCGCTCTTATGAACGTTCAGCTATTTTAGGATAAAGCAGTCGTGGCGAAGCCTCATTGGGATCAAATGAACAGTGCAAAAGAAAAGATAACAGAAAAGAACAGATAATCCATACATTAAAAGACCTTTTCAACTGTGGGAGGGGGGAGGGGGGGAGGTGGGGGTGAGCAGGTGTTCTGGCAAAGATTCAACACTCAGGGGGTAACAAAGGCGGACTTTTAATCGGATTGCAACTGATACTATGAGCACTGCTACTCATAGCTGGCTATAGAAGAAGGGGACTGAGCACGTGTAGAAATGTCCCTAGTGCAGTTATGTCGATTCTTGATTAAATCATTCATTTTGCCATTCGTATAACACTATCGTCTGGAAAGGTGGCAATCATTCATTTTGCCAACAGGACTAAGATGTTATCTCTGGGTGGTTAGCCTTCAGACAGTTGCTGCTTGGAGGGGTCAAACCGATGGAGATCGCAGCTTGTGGAAAGTCATGATCACCCACGCCAATCGACTAGGCGCCTGATGATATAAAGGCCTAATTAAAATATCCAGGCGGCGGGAATTTTCTCGTCTGCAATCCCGGATGTCAGCAGGGAAAGACGAGGCGACAACTTCATCACAAACGCCAGAACTTTGACTCAGACGCCGCCACACGCACGGTAACCCAAACCATAATGTCAATCCACTTCTACGGTCTCGGATTTCGCAGCAACCATTCAAGGATTAGGAACAAAGGATTCCAAAATCCCCATAACAAACAATTCATTCTCTTGCAAGATGCAACCGTGTGAAGCAGAGCTTTCAAGACTGTGTGCCGGAATATTAGTATGTCGACTGCAGTATGAAACTAAACTAATCCATGTCATCCCTCTTGTGGGATGCAATTTTTCGTTATTTGAAGCCCCACCCTGATTTTTGCCAGGGGCCCTAAATATAGCCGGCCATAAATACGGGGTTTCTGGAAGCTCTCCACGGGTGATCCTCATCCGCGTGG